AATTCCTCTAGAAGATATATTGTCTGCCCAAAAATGGGTTAATTCTAAAATGAATATGACAGACACCGCGACCTGGTGGATTTTCTTAACGATACCAGCGAGATGGGTATCAAATAAACGAACTTGGAGAGTAGAATGCAAAAGCACAGTTGTAGGTATGAGAGATCTTAGCGAGAAAATTATGCAAAGAAATTTTGTGAATCCATTTCCGTATACAATACCCTACCTTGAAAATTTTTGGCTTTTCACACAGTTGACGAGAAATGCCGGTGCAGAAAATGCATTTATTCGAACGCAGGCACATGTTAAAAAAAGTATATGTTTATGCTATTTAAAAAAAGATCATTGCATATATGGTTTTATATCGAGCTTGGCAAATGTATGTAAACATTGATGAGCACTTTGGCATAAATTTTAATAATATCGTATGACAGGGTATAGGATACGAGGAAAAACTTTCTATTACCTTACGTTAACAGCTGACGTTGCTTATATCATTATCACGTTGGTAATAATAAAAAAAATTTCATAAAATAAATGTTTCATCTAAGGTTAAAGTTATTGATGCTTTATTGCACTACTTTATGTATTCAAAGTAAATGTAACGTAATATCATGTCATCATATTTCATCATATCATTTGGCATATGCGGAAAAAATATTCGGATTTCGCTTTATTATAATATATTGTTTTACTTCCCAGGATAAGTATTTTCATTTTGAATTTTACTGTCCATCCGTGAAATAATTATATCAAATATGATTAGCTTTAAAATCAATATTTTTACTAAAAAGTTCCTACAAAATATTCAACTTCAATTAATAATAATAATCAATTAATAATAATAATAAATATAAATAATATAAATATATACAGAGATCGTCACGCAAGGGGAACAAGTATGATCTCAAAATTTGGTTCTTTGAACGCTTGTTGGAGAATCCCAAAACATCCCTGTTGCTGGTTTACGAGGGAAAGAGTAATAGGTATGATGACGATGGTGCCGAATAAGACAATTTATTGGGAAATCTACTAATTCTCTTAGTTAAACTAAGCGCAAGTTTAACTATTACTTTTCAGTCATATATAGTCCACTAATGTCATAAAAATATACCATATAGACAATAGTAATTATCTCTGTTTGCATTTTCAGTGCAGCTTGCTTGCTTGCTTTTTCTGGTATCAGTAATTACTCTTAATTCTAGTGATAGCATTTATCATTGAAACTTTGACTTGAAACAGCAGCAGCATTAAATTAAAACTCATCACGCCATTAATAATATCAGCACTACCAGTAATGTAATATACTGTCGTAATGTAGGTTAGCAAGAAACTTTATGTATTTATATTTATATGATATGCTTTATGCCTGTTCGCCTACTGGCCTGCTGCTGTTGTGCTGTTGTGCGTATGTTCTTCTAGTAAATGGAGTCTTAGGTGAAAGAATGAATTTATGAAAAGCTATTAATTAAAGTTATGAAAACTAATGAAGTTAAATTAAGTAGCAAATTGGAAAATGACCAGATTGATCACACAGTTCCCTCTCCGGGATCCCAAATGGAAACCAGAATCTCTAAACAAAGAACTCTTCGCTCGTATATTGGAAGAAGCAGAACCCAGAAACTCGGCTCAACGTTCCGTTGCGGAGGTTATAGTACGGATTATAAAAGCCTGGGAGGGCTCAATGACAAGACGTTGCTTCTATAAAAGCAAGGAGCCAGTATACTGGTGGACAGACGAGCTAGCCGAACTAAGTGCTCAATGTGACAGAGCGAGACGTGTCTACCAAAGATCGCGAGGGACTAGTGCTTATCTCAGCCACCAAGAAGAATTCAAACTCTACAATACAATAAAGGTGGTTACGAATATTGCAGCAGAAGCGATAAAAGGAACACGCTGGATGGAAGGCAACAAAAATTATTGCTTAGTAATAGCATTAGACATTGAAAATGCATTCAACTTAGCAAACTGCTATTGTGTCATAGCCGCCCTACAGGAAAGAAGAGTCCCACCGCATCTTATAAATATAGTGGCTAGTTATTATACTGGCAGGAATCTTCGATACGTTACGGATAAAGGGTGCAGAGAAAGGCTGATCACTGGAGGGGTACCTCAGGGATCAGTCCTAGGTCCTACATTGTGGGACCAAATGTACGACGATATCCTAAAACTACCTCTCCCAAAGAGAGCATCCATCGTGGGTTTTGCTGACGATGTAGCGATAACTATCGTGGCAAAAACTTTGGAGGGAATTACCACTATAGCGAATAAATCCGCCGACATGATTAAGAGGTGGCTGCGGTCAGTGGATTTAGATCTAGAGAAAGAAAAAACAGAAGCGGTATTAATATCCTCTAGGAAGAAGATTGAGGAAGTGACTATCCAAGTGGGAGATACGAGGATACAGTCACAAGAAGCCATAATATACCTAGGAGTGATGATCGACTGCAGACTTTCGTTTAAACGGCATCTCCAATACACGAGCGAAAAGGCAGCGAAGGTAGCAAAGTCGCTGGCGCGCTTACTGCCAAACTTACGGGGCCGTAGGCAAGACCGTAGAAAGCTGATCGCAGAAGTAGTAATTGCGACAATAATGTATGGTTCTTTGGTGTGGAAAAAGGCTTGTTATACCGTCATGCACGGGAGACATCGAATCAGCATAAAGCCTATGCGCTCTAAAGGTGTGCACCGCATATCGGACGGTGTCGGAAGAAGCGGCCTTGGTTATCGCTGGTATTATACCAATCGACTTGCGAGCTAAAGAAGGTATGTATAAGGCTGAATTCTACAGATTGTCGGCTGAAGCGGCTAAGCAGCGAGCAAAACAGCGATTGGTGGAAGATTGGCAGGAGCGCTGGAGCAGAGCGAGTAAGGGTAGATGGACGCACCGGCTCATACCAGATTTGCGGCCCTGGGTGAATAGGCAACATGGTGAGGTTGACTTTTATTTGACACAGCTAATTAGCGAGCATGGTTGCTATAGATTATAGGTTTAAAATAGACTAATTCTAACTAATTCTGTAGTTCTTGTGAGTGCATCGAACACGCTGAACATGTTTTCTTTGTCTGTCCGAAATACCATCACGAAAGACAGAGACTGCAGAAGGAAATTGGAGTGTTGCGTCTGTTGGTGGTAGGAATGTTCGCCGCAAACATTATGAGACAACAAAGACACGAAGGCTTTTAAGTAGTGCTTAAACGGTTACGCTTCCTGTGAAGGTACACCTAAACGGTCGTGCCACAGAGTAGGGAATAGGAGGAGCGGTTTTATAATGCATAGAAGCAAGTTTCAGGAGCCCCATACAGTATAGAAGTTCTTAGTCAATTTCAAATTCGTGATGTACCTAAGCATGTTCATTCGTTCACTTGTCCGTCTGTTCGTCTGAGCGACTGCGTACCATCTGTGATACACATTCTCCCGTTCGCAAAAATTATGATATTGTCTAGAAACTTGCAAAAAAATTTCAAAATGATACAAAACTTTTCGAGGAACATGTCTACAACGTGCACACACCTACGTTACAAACACTGTCAACACCTTTGCTTTAACTGTTATTTATTTCTTACTTAGAAAGTACAACACAAACACCATATAAATATCCACTTTTACTCTGAAAGTAGAAAAAACTGACCGCGCCTATTTAATATCAAAGAGTATCAAAATTTAGTCCTTTTCCTTGTTTTAGAATCCGAATGATGCGTACAAAAGCATCGGTCACGAGTGAATATCATTTTCTTGCTTGTTTTTTTCATATTCTCCATATGAGTATTGCTCTCATGATAAGTTGAAAGAGAATGTTTTAATAAATTGTTGTGGGAAATTTGCATAAATTAAATTTTCAAAAAATAAAGCTTATGTGAATAAAATTCCAAAGCACATTTTTAACTGGTGTGAAAAGCGCGATTTTAACATAATTTCCGCGATTTGACTTAAAGTCGAGTTAAAATCAACTTTTTGCTAACTTTCTCATCGCGGAGATGGGAATCGGTAGTTAAAAAAAATTATAAGTTAAAGCCGATAACCTTAGTGCTTTAAGACATTAGCCTTAGAATTTATTTCCTTGGCTAAACTAATAACAATAATAATAAATATATATACTAATGTTACGAAAATCACAAATCTAGTTTCATTCCAACTAATTAATTATCTAAACAAATAATAATGATAATAATAAAAACAAAAAGTTCTTTCTTTTTTTAATATTATATCCAAAAATAGGCAAGAAAAAATTTTCAAGCTTGAATATTCAAAAAGAATATTGAGATTTCTTCCTTTGTTAATACTTTCGTATGCAAAATTAAAGAAAGCGGTTTTGTCCTACTACGCAATTACATATATATGCGGGCGAGCGAGTTTATGTGTATGTAAATGAAGCAAATGTGTATATTGTCTGTTCAGAATCTCAAGTAAATTACAGTAAAAAGCACAGCAGTCACTGATTTCTAATAAAAATCATTCTATAAAGCATGCAGTAAAAGAGAAATAGGAGTGTGAGTACCAAAGAAAGCTAAATCAGAAAGTGTCTTCTTTTTCTTTTCTTTCCTTGTCGTAAAAATAAGAGTGAAAGATAACAAAAAAGTATTTTTATAAATTTGTTTTCTTTGTTTCGCAATTCAAGCCGACTGCAATAATGTTGCAGGTGTTTTGTATATTTGATGGTAAAATGAGATAGAGATAAAAAGATAGATAGAAAGAAAGAAACAAAAAAAAGAAAGAAAGTAAAAAAGGAGATAGATAGATAGATAGATAATTAGATAGGTAGATAGATAGATAGATAGATAGATAGATAGATATAGAGAGAGAGAAAGAGAGAGAGATAAAAAGGGTAAACGATAGATAGAAATCTGGAATTATGTTAAAGTGCATATATATATATATATATATATATAGAGAGAGAGAGAGAGAAAGAATAGGAAAAACTAAAACATAAATTTTTTACTTAAACTAAAAAATACATTTAAATTTAATTTTTTTTTTTTAGATAATCTAAAATTATTACCATATTCTAATCCGTGGTCGTAGAATTGGCCTAATTTTGGGGGGTAGAAGGTGGTGGGTTGGGATAGCAAAAAAAAAATAGTTGTAGTTGTTGTAATTTTAATATTAAATGACATTAATTCACATAATAGTTAGTTATTTATCATAAATAGTTTTTTTCAATTAATTGTTTGTATATTGTTTTCAATAGTTTTGAGATTGGAGAGTTTTTTTTTATTGAATTTAGAGGCGTGATGGTGGAGGAGAAGGCCAGAGGGAGGAAGGGGAAGAAAAGAAAATTAAAGAAAAAGTTAAGAAAACTTATTAAAGGTAAGAATTGAAATTAACATCAAATCAGTTGTGAATTTTATGTTATAAAACTACACTAAAATTTTCATCCACAAAAACTCTTTTATTTTTTTTTTATTTAAGTGAAAAGTGTTAAAATATTAAAAAAAAAAAAAAAAAACAAGAAGAGTGAAAAGCAGAGGAGTTTAATATTAAAAAGCTTACTTGAGGGTATAATTGTTAGTGGCATCTTGTCTAACCACTAGCGGGCGTTGACTGGTTGAAGTACTTCCACCGCCGCCACTGTTACCGCTATTGTTGGCTGTATTACTGCTACCCATACCTTGGGACACTGATCCATTTGCATTACTGTGATCTTGTATGGGTGTGGCTGGTGAAGATGACGCAGACACTGTTTGTCCCGGTTTCTTTTTGAGGGCCGACTTTAGAGGAACTGCATTTGGTTTAGGCTCTTTGGCTGGAATTTCCTCAATACGTTGGGTATCAATGTGATTTTGATATTGTTGAAAGCTATAATCAATATCGGAATCATTATCATCATGAGTCGGATCATCATCTGCGATGGAAAGAGAAAAAGAAAAGTTTTCATATACAAATTACCATGCTGCGCTATTTAGTTAAGAAACTAACCGTAATCATCATAGGGTTGATAATCCTTGTCATTAATAGCGCCTGGTCCATGAGCTCGTCCTGCTACTAATGTAGGCGATGGTGTTGAGAACATTGGCGGTGGTGGTATAGGGCCTATTTCCGAAACTGGTATAGGTGGTTCCGGTAGTTCTGTCAACATGACGCCACCCACCATTTTATCATGATGACCCGCTGTAGCGGGGCCGCCGTCATTATATGCTGATGCATTTCCACCACTACCGATTATGCTGCCAGACGTGGAACCAACGTCAGGGTCTATAAAGGAACGAGAATAAAGAAAAATATGAATTACATGTAAATGTTCATAGGCCTTTATTTTCTTCTTTTCTTTTACTTTATATTGTTAATGGAAAATAATTTATTCTTCAGATACAAGTCACGAGTTTGCCGTTATCGTTTGTTTGAATTTTACTCAATGCATACAATTCCATGCAGAAAGTAAAAATCTAAGCACAAAGGCAATTCTTGAGTCACATTTTAGTTTAGGACTTAGGACTTGGATCTCGAAAAGGAAGTGCCACGAGTCCAATGTTTTACATAAAATTTTGGTAGACATGAAGAAATCTTGTTTAGACACGATTAAACTGATCTGCATATTAAGCGCCATCTATTGTTTGCAGTGAAAATTATTTATTTAATTTTGCACGCCACTACGTCAGGGAATGGAGGTATGTTAGATTCATAAACACTTCAGAAGCTCCATCAGATATATATATATATATATATATATATTGATGAAGACAATATCATCAATATAAGATTTTCAGTCGATGTTATATTGAAGATGATTTGCAAGATTGCAAAACACATTTGGTCTTCTTACTCTTAGCTTTTTGGGACAGTCTTTCCATTTTAATTCACAGGGAAGTCATTTAGGCCCGATGCATACAAAAGCGGTTGTTCAACATTTCACTTCTAAAGTATGATTGCGTTGAACATCGCAGCGAAAACCTGTCGCATCGTTCGTCTAATTGTCTCACCACGTTGAGATAGACAAATTTTTAGTGGACGCTTAGATATGAAACTTGAACATAGAGAAGATATCGCCACAAATCCGTTCTCAGTGCTTATAGCAGATATTGATTTAAAATATGGTCTAAATTTTGTTGCTAGGATAAGTTCCAAATTAAAACACAATTAGTAGAATAGTATGTAATTTTCTCAATCGAATCCTCCGAAGGCGAATTTGTTTTCTTGCTTCATCTATTTTTATTGCAGGCGCTTAACTTTTAATTAACTTTAGGAAGTTTTAGATCAATATTTTGCATATCTTGTGTTTTTGCCTATTGTGGGTTGATCATTGTCATGTTCAAACCCTTCCTATCAATTCACTAAAAATATGTATGAAAGTGTTCGGCTTTCTGTCCCGATCTTTTCGATCGTAAGTTCTTCAATGGCATATATAATAAAAAAAACAATCTTATACCGGCGAAGAATTTATAGGATTTGGTCAATCTGTCATGAGGGGTCGATATTCGTTACGTACATTAGACGCTTGCTTACCTTCAAGCTCAAATAGTCTAAACGCCTTATTTTTGAGTAAGTTATACAGCAACTATAGTCCTTATTTTTTTGGATAATAAGACTTGTTGTGAATATCAAAAGATTCACATCCAACTGGATACAAAATTCTTTTTGTTTACGTTTAGTATTGTATATGGATATGTTAAGTTTACATAAGAGAAAATAAAAAAAGTTTATTGCTGGCAAACTACCTAAGCTTACGAAAATAGTCTGTAAAAGTTTAAGCAAGTGTTAAGTTGTATACGTAACATGAATATGTTACGTATATTGTATGTATACATAAAAAATCTAATTTTTTTTTTTTTTTTTTTTTTTTTTTATAATTTACTTTTTTTTTTTTTTTTAAGCTAATAAGACAGTACAGACATTGTTGCATGCATAATAACGAACGGTTCAAACAAGCCAAAAAGTATGTTTTGAAAATAAATTGAAAACTTACAGTGCTCGTAGCAAACATTTACACGACGCGTTAATTTATTTGGGCCCAGTGTATTGGGTCGTTCCAGTTTGGAATTTTGTGTGTGTGAATCATACTGATCACGACTGCTAATAAGCAAATGCGAAGGCTGCAGCGAGCCCTGACAAGGCGGTTGTTCGGTATTAGGCGACAGTGTAACATTACCACCCCCACCAACAACAACACCAATACCACCACCACCATACTGTACATCAGTCTTGTCTTTTCTGGGTTCTGTAAATAAAACAAATAAAATATAAAATATTTAAGAAATCAAATAAATTAGGAGGAACATAAAAGCATTTATAACATTTTCAAGAAAATTATTTTATAAAATTTTTAATAAGAAAAATTTCAAGTTTTAAAATAATATATGGTGGTAGGTAAATTTTAAATGGCTGCGAATGTCGTTATTATAAATTTTAATACAGACTTTTGCGATCTAATTAATTATTACAGAAAATATATGATGATGAAAATTTTGCAAATTAAGTTCCGCGTAAAACTTTTACTAGCGAACTTTTTAAGAAGTACACTTCCTAAAGTAGGCCATCAGAGTAGTTTTTAAATTTGTCCCAAAAGAATGCTATAAAAATTTTTTAGTAATAAAATTTTTTTTTTTCTTTTAAAAAGACCAAATTATTATGTTTCGTAAAGTTCTTAACGACTTCTAACATTTTCAGTAACTTCTTGTGCTATTGTTATTGTACTTGCGAAAAGATTTTTATATTTAACAACGAACAGCTGATGAGGATACAAAATATATTAGTATTATGTGTGTAATATTCGCAAGTAGTCATTGCGAATCATGTAATTATCACTGATTTAGTCGTAATTGCATTTCAGTCTCTCTGTACATCTGTGACGGATTATATATGTCTGTGATTACTTCCATTCTGAATAATTATTAAGTGAAAAGAGAGAAAATACTGTTTGATTGCTTGTTCAAATTTAAAGACCGTAAGCGCAATCAATATACAGCTCCGTCTTGTCTAATAAGTTTTAAGGGTGACGTTAGTGTTACCAGTCTCAAACATCTGTCCTGTTCCTTTCTTACTTTATCATGCTCTATACTTTTATTGGGGATTGCAGAGGTCATAGGTTTGAAAGAAATCATTTTAACTGATATTCAGGGCATTAGCTATCGCAATTTGTTCAAACTTATTACGGATCAGCTTTTCGCATTAATGAATAAGATCTTGTTTTCTTTGTTTTCTACACTAATAAAGAGTTAATGATTGGTCGGAAAAAGTTTCTTTCACTGCTCAATAGTTGGTCAATCTAATTCAATCGGGTTAAATGTTTAGACTTAAAAACAAAGTTTTGTTACCTACAGTCCAGTCCACAAGATAACTTTATCTAGTATCTACGACTCGTGTTTGATTTTTTCCAAAAACAATGCAATACAGCACGTCGCAGTTGATTGTACTGTCCATCGGACAATTTGGTTTAAGACGCATATGCTAGCAATAAAGATATATAGAAAAAAGCGGTTTGTTTTTCGTAAATTACTAGAGAGAACATATACCTTTCTATAAAATTTCTTTACGGGTATTTTCCTTTGAGCTTATGGCCAAGTCAAAAAATTGGCCAGCTCAGGTCAAAATTACTCCCAACATATTATATAGCTGTCTTTGGTTGCTGAAGTGAAATTTTCTAAAATGGACTATAATTTTAAAAACTTTTTAAATGTTTTCGTCTTTTAACAACGGCACATATTATTGTTTATTATCATTAGGGCTTTTATTGCATGGACAACTCTCTCTCTCTCTCTCTCTCTCTCTCCTTGCCTATTAACGTTTGTCGTTCTTACAAGGAAACTTAGCAATTGTATACTAATTGTTATTATAATTATTATTATTATTATTATTTTTAGTTAGCCAGAGAATAAATTCTAAGACTAATCTTAAAAAGCATTAGCATCTAAGGCTTTCGGCTTTTTATGAAAAACTCTACCGTACTTGAGATTTGAACCCACGGCCACTGAGTTGCTCTTCGAGATTCTTGCCTACTAATTGATAATGGATACTGATAAGAACGTTAATGATAAGAAATAAGTTAATTTTTTAACATAACAAAATTTCATTAGTATATTTTACGAGTCGACTTTTATTATATTATATTCAGTACGATTCAAGACCTTAAACATATTGTAAAATAAAGTTTTTTCTTAAGCATTTTTATGATTTAAGCATCATTATGTTAAAATGTATGCTCTTCTACATTGCATTTAAGTACTTATTTGCCCTTTCTAGCCGTTCAAGAAGAAAAGAAAAATGCAGCGGAAGAAGAAGAAAATGAATTATGTTTATGTACAATTTACTTTCGATTCTTCATTAAATTTGTTTGCGGCAAGTAAACGATGGTTGCGATGCATATGCAAAAAAAAAAAAAAAAGTAAGGAATGGCAAGCACGTATAATAACCATTGCTTGCCTTCTTGCTGTCCTTTTCAGCCTTTTTATTCGAAATTGAATTTTTGCTGAATAATATATTAATTTGTATTTGTTCGTAATTAACTGAGAGCTCAATTTGTGCTTAAGCTAAAATCTAGAAAAGGTTTATGCAACAAAGGAAAAAAGTATAAGAGAAATCTAAGAAAAATATTGCAACATAACCCCGTGTTTAGTGATTTTACGTTATTTATTCAACTCCTTTTAAAGTTCATATCACTGAAGTGTGATTTTCAGGATAGTACAGGTTTTATGCACAAAATTAGCAAAGCTATTTATAAATTATTTACATCAACTTGTATTTACAGCGCTTCAATTCTTGTTCGAATCTTGTCTGTTTGAATATTGCAAGTCAAATCACTTGACTTTCGACGAACTTTTGGAAACAGCTTACGAGTGACTCTGCCTTCCACAAATATTCTGCTTATATATCCCTTTCAAACATTACATAAATTCATCGCGCTAATCCGTTTTTCCGCTAAAATTTTTGCCAATTGTTGTGAATCTTTTTGCTAGTCGTCAGTCGCCAGGTGCATGACGCTGGTAACGTGCTATGAATGTGTACCTGTTCTTCTGCTTTCTTTCGAATTTAGTTTCTTAGCAAGTCGACTAATTTT